TTAAGTATAAAATCCTAGGCTGCCAGAATTATTATCTTCTCATTTAACTGTACCACTGTACACCACCAATTTTGGCACCTTAACTCAACTTAGTTCTCTTCATTGTACAGGGACTCTTTTGCAGTGTGCACTATTTCTCCTAGATACCTTATTCCCAAATCTCTTTCTGCTTCATGTCACTACATTACAGTCAGCAGAAATTGGTGGGCAAGAACTAGAAAGAAAGACTCACAGAATTCAATGTTTCTGGAACACAAAAGATGGCCTGCACATCTGCATGATTAACAATATATTTAACAGCATCTGGACCTGAAGGTGATTCAGCAAAAAATATCAGAATCCAAGAGACAGTTAATAAAACATTCTAGAAGCATAAAGATTAAGGAGGCAAATACCAAGTGTATCATACAAAGGAACTGAAATATATGAATAAGCCGAGCAGGCATGATCCACAACCACCCATTCTGGTCTATTGATAAAATAAAGTCCCACACTCATGCCCTGTAGGAAATGGACAGTCAACAGTTACTTATGGGTGTAAATGTGTAATATAAAAGAAATACAATTCAAAGAGCAGATCAGATGACTAAGCAGAAAATTCACAGCTCAAGTATGAAGATTGAGGATCAAGTAATAATAATAATGAATGGAGCACAATCAATGCTTGGACAAAATTCCAGAAAATTTTGGCAGAGCCCTTAAGTTCTTTGCCACAATTTGTAAATCTGGTAAACTTTAGGCCTCAAGTAGAGTTGGGGGTGATAGGAAGACTCACTTTTGACAGACCATAGTTCTGAAGAGCAGATCCTACAGCAGAGCGAGCATTGCTAACTTCTCCATAAGTCATCCATTTGTACCTTTGGAATTAGACAGAAAAATATGATCAGAGATAGTTGTTATGGTGTATATAAACCTACTGGGACAAGCCAGTATGAAAGATCAATTTGAATCTGTCAACATACTCTCCAACTGTTCCATCCACACGCACTCTTGTACCCAAATATTTGTAGTCAGGGAAACTGTCAACTGCATGTCTGCATAAACATTACACAACTAGATAGTGTTAGTCCTGCAAGATTACTCTAAATAATATGTAACGTGCCACGAACAAATATATGAAAGAGTCTCACACAAAATTCTCATGCAATGTCCCAATCTCTGGATGGTTTGGGAATCTAGTGACAAGATTCACAGGGAACCGAGCAGACCTGCCTCAAAAAATATGATAAAGCCATGTCTCAATTGATACAGATAAATAAATGAAAACAGAGGTAAGGAGATATACAACAAAAAAAAAAAGAAGAAGCAGAAGTGATAAATAATTAAATACAGAGCAAAATAACACAGCACAAGATAGCCTACCTGTACACATTCCACTTTCCTGTTTGTAACTTTTCAGGAAGGACTACACTATACTTTTCACCTACAAAAGTAGAAAACACAATGTTGTTTGATCACATATTCCCAAAGATTATAGACTGATACATTATGTACCTGAATATGAGTGTATGATATCACATCGATATGAAATTAAGAAAGACAATAGTCAATAGCAACTTTACTTGTTGTAACACATCTCTGTAACTTGAAAATATAACTTCAAAAAATTTCACAATTCCAAATATCTTTAACTGCATACAAAAACATCTGTAAACTAGAATAATTTAAATCTAGTTATTTTCTTTATCTCTCCCTCAAATTAGTAATGTCATGTTCAGCTCTGACATCAGCTATGTCACCTATGCGTGTTGTTTCCAGCACAAAGATCTTTGACTTTATAATACTGAAAATAATTCTTGTATGAAATTGTACAGAGGTAAGAACAACTGACAACAAAATTTGATAATATGAAGCATTATTTGCCTTTCCAATTTTCCAAATCACATAGGTTATAGCCAGAAATATGGCTACAATATTTTGGCCATAAATTATATATTCTCCCTTTGATTCCTTAACCATTTGATTAAACCCCATGCACAGGTGTTGTACAAAGCCAATTGGCATCCACAGTCCACAACAATTGGCCTTGTGTGAATACTGGGAAAATACATTGCTAAAAATTCAAACTTCCAGTTAATCCTACATAAGGTATTGCATTTTCCATAATTTTTTTGATACCCTGGGAAACTTGCCACTGAGAATCTCCTTGTTCACTAGGATTCCAATCATAATTGCTTAACTGAAGAGCTCCACTACCCCCATACACTGACATTGACAAAAGCAAGCCTTAAACAACATCTTCCAACAGAATCAAAACTCGTAACAGTCATAAACGCTTTGTTCGCCTAATAATAAGTCCAAACTTTGCCAATGGAAAGAAAATCCTCTGACGTCATTCACCTATCTATATTAAAGTTCTAACTTCTAAAAGCTAATATCTTGAATAAAAAGCGCTAGCATTTTTGAAGAAAATGCTTTTGACTGAAAGTTCAAATTGGAAAAAAGGTAAAAAAAAAAAAAAAAGGGAAGTTTAACAAACTC